TGTTACATCTAGGGGGTACCCCTAGGTCGTGACAACAACTAAACAAATTTACAAAATTATTTATCAAATGGAATTCTTAGACATCACTCTCAGGCAGTAGTACCATTTTTTATAACAGTTAAACTACTCTCTAAATAAATCAAAAGAGTTAGTTGTTGTAGTCAATAAAAATATCCAACTAATATTCGGGGTCGAATCCCATAGAGAGTTATATAGCGCAAAAAAAAATCTTTAAGGAACCTAGAATGTAAATCAATTCATTTGTAGCAATAAGAACAATGGGTAGATAATTCCTCTAGATTTATGTAAAGGGTTTTGTTAGAAATAGTCACAAAGTAAACAATGATTTTAGAAATTCTAATAATTTAAAAGTTATCAAGAGGTGTGGGGATTTTAAATCGAAGCACATAGGGGTTATTGTTTTGGTCTAAGTCTAGACACTCATGGATAGGTTGGGTCATCTCCAATGACACTAATCTTCTTTCAATCTCACAGTATAAGTTCATAGAATCTCCTTTTGGCTCATCAATGTGCATAATAAAATATTCCAATACGTTACACTATTCACTATATTGCTGCAAAAATAAGTAAAATATACCCAACCCATAATCTCTTTTTTCAAGCTAATTAAAGACATCAAAACTAACTTTAAAGTATCAAACTAATTACCTACTCCAATCAATCTCTTTCGAGCATAAATCGTAGATCACAAGTAGGAATTAAGTTTAGAACCATAACCCATAAATTTACTCCATGCTAATTAGCCCAAATAAATGTACGAACAACAGTAAAATATAGCATAACACAATATCCACTACATTAAAGAAACACCCATCCCCATCATGCACGCTAAAACTTTGGTCATCCATCACAATGTACAAAGAAATTAAATCTTTCATGAAAGCAACCATGGATAAAATGAAATTAAGCAATTATAAGCAATTCCCACTATAAAATAAACTTCAAATTGTCAATTCAAGAGCAAAGTTTAAAACCCCCAAACTAAAAGTGTTCTTCAAAAAGTAAAGTGTTTCTCTCTCAAAAACTCTAGAGAAAAAGTGATTCGACTGGTATCTCTAAAAGATTCACAACCCTTCTTTATCTCTACTTTGGTGTATTTACAGTTCCATAAAACTTGGTCCGAAATTCGATGCGTGACCATTTCAGCGATATTTGTCGATCTCACAAAGCACATTCAGTGGATCGGGATTTGCTCCTTAGCTCCCCTTTCTCTTGATTTAAGCTTCAAGTGTTCGAAACTCAATCGATGAGCTCGTTAGAGTCTACCTTTCTCATTCGGCGAATCACTGAGTGCCACTGTTGTTCTCCTTGTATGCCTTCCATTTTTCTCCAAGAGCTGTCACCTTTGATGATTGTCAACAAGTTCATTTCTTGCATTCAGAGAGTCGACATTCCTTTTTATGTTCACCAACCTACCTCAATTAATTCAAGTGTTATGAATTGTCAATTTTGGCAAGGTCGTGCCAATTGGGCGATCCATCTTTCATGGTAGGCGATCATCAATGTGGGTTATATAGTTGTTTTCATGTTGTGGCCATTATTTCAAACATTCATCCTTGCATTTTTGCTTAACGTTCATAGCTGCAAATTATAAAAATATAATTAAAATAGGAAATAATTAGGAATTGCGGTCATTAACTATTAAACTAAGTAAGACTAAAATGTGTGTAAACAATCACTCATGCAGGTGTTTGGACAGAAGGCAATAAATTGCCCCAAATGTGTTCCTTCTACTATTCAGTCAGGAACCTATGTTACTCATTCTATGCAAGATCTAGTTGTATGAAGTACTCCATATGGTTCTAAAGGTGGTACCAAGGGTACCAAGTGTGAAGTTTGAGGTAGTTCTCATGGTTGCTTTAAGACTAGTGGTGATCAAAGACAATTTTATTCTATACAACGTATATCTAATGTAGAGGCGTCAGATGTAGTGATCAAAGGTACCGTCCTAGTCTATCATTACTCTAGAAAACGTGGGTCGACCTACTCTTATGTGTCCACCTATTTTGCTATAGGTACTGATCATGTTTGTGAGTCCCTTATTACGACTATTAGTGTTTCTACCCAGAGGGTGATTCATTAATGGTGGATATGGTGTATCGGGGGTGTGTCGTAACATTTTTTGATAGTAATACTCATGAAGACCTGATTATACATGGTATGCTTGATTTTTATGTCATAATCGGTATGTATTTGTTATTTCCCCATAATGTGATCCTTGATTTTATTGCTTAGATTGTGACCTTAGCTTATCCCGATTTACCTCAATTATTGTAGAAGGGTTCTCCAAGTTTGTATCATCACGAAGTGACATGTTTTCTTGTTCCATCATATGATGGAGATAGGTTACTTATCTTATTTGGACCATATTTGTGATCTTACAAAATATCCTTTTCCTTTAGAGACCATAAGAGTTGTGAGAGAGTTCATGGATGTGTTACCTACTGATTTACCAGGTGTTCCTATAGACCATGACATCTATTTTATAATTTAATTGGAGCAAGGAAATAAGAGTATTGTCATTTCTCCTTATCAGATGCCCTCATGGAGTTGAAGTAATTTATTGCTCAAGTGGAGAACTTACTGTGGTTTATTTGGCTTAGTGTTTCATAGTGTGGCATACAATTCTTATTTATGAAGAAGAAAGATTGTAGTATGAGGATGTGAATTGATTATCAATAGTTGAAGAAAGGTATGGTCAAGAGGAAGTATCATTTTTCTTATATTGAAGATTTGTATTAGCTTTAAAGAGCGTTAGTGTTCTCAATAATCACCTTGAGGTCAGGCTATCATCAGTTGAGAGTTTGAGATTTTGATATCTTGAAAACTTCTTTTAGTATTCCTTATATGAATTAAGTATTTGTAGTCATATCCTATGGACTTTCTAATTCCCCAACCATATTTATGGAGTTGATTAACCAGGTATATTGGCCTTATACTGTTTCCTTTGTGATTCTATTTATTGATGATATCTTGGTTTATTAAATGAATGAGGTCTATCATGTTAATCACTTTAGGACTATACTTCAAAAATTTATAAAGGAAAAATAGTATGCAAAATTCTACAATTATGAGTATTAGCTTAAGTTTGTGGCTTTCGTAAGTCATGCGGTGACCAAGAACGATATTATGGTTGGTCTAAGGTTGCAGCAGTCACTACAACAAATTCGATTATCAGGGACGAATAATTTTGTCATTTATAAATCAAATTTCGTCACTTAAAATCTTGTGTGACGAAAAAAATTTCGTCAATCAGTCGTCACTAAACGTGCGTGGCTAAAAGTATACAAAGACGATTTAGTGCTTCGTCACTAAAAGTATTATATTAACTACAAAAAGAAAAATCGTCTCCAAATGCATTAATATTTGTGACGAATTTATTTGTCATACAAAGTATAATTTTTTTGTAGTTAATAGTATGATTTGTCACTAAAAATGTTATTACTATCAACAAAATTATGTCGTCACAAATTATTTAGTTCAATTAGTGACGACATTAATTGTCTCTAAAGTTATATGTATTTCGTAGTTGAACAAATGTAGTTTCGTCACTAATGACTACTTTTTATATACAAAAAAATATTTTGTCCTTAAATGTATAAATTAGGGACAAATTTATTGTTATAAAAAAACTTAATAATTTTGATTTTGTCACTAAAAGTATTATTTTTACTGACAATATATATTGTCATTATAAATTATCACGATTAGTGACAATTACAATTGTCACCACATAAAAAAATAATTCGTATTCAATAAAAAAGAGGTACTGGGACAATGCATTTTTTGTCACTAAATTTAGTCAACTTGTAATGAACTAATATATTTTGTGACGAAAACATTTGTCTTGAAAAGTTTAATATAGTCGTTGCTAAAAATTTCTTTTGATGATAAAATATTGTCACTAATTACAAATAAATAATGACATTTAATTATTTTGTATTGGTATTATTTATTAAATTAGAGTTGCATAAATTAAAAATTAAACAATAAAACATGCTAGATAATAATCAAATTCAGCCATGATCATGTAATTAAAAACAACGAAAATTCTATTGAGATAATATCTCATTATAAACTCCTTAAATAAAAGTAACATATGTCCAATAACAAGAAAATCTAACTGAAATATACTAAATATTACTCTTAAACTTAGACAAATAATTAAAAGTTCCTTCCAAAGTAGCAATAATGTGGTGACACATAGCTTGCAATCGATTTTGATTCAGTTCTCCCCTTTTATACCTGTGAAAAAAGAAAATAAAACAAAATTAAGATTTAATTTAAAGTATTTATGCCAAGTTTAAAAGTAAAATATACAACACAATTTGTCTTTCATATGTTGTAATGCGCAATTTTATAAGATTATTGGATAGATGGTCCCTGGTATTACAATTCAATTTCTTCCATCTGGGAAGAGTTCTATTCAGTCTCATTTTCAGATACGACAACTACTTTTCTGCTAGGACCAATATGATTGATTGTATACTATAATAAGTAATAATAATAATAGGATTTATGCTCGTGGGGTGGGGGTTGATGTTTACTTTTGATTCATTAGTTTATCCAAATGGACTTCATTTTGTTTTAGTTAACAATTAGTACAAGTAAGGCTTTGCCCTCATGGTTTATCCTACTTACCAAGCACAGTAGTTCTATTATGATATAAGCAATCAAATTTTTTTGCACTTCTTTGTACCAAGTTACTCAGCCCTATATATGTTCCTGCAAAGCATTTGCTTCAATAAAATTTCCTATTTTAGTCTAAGACTAAGACCCAACCTCTTTAGAAACTATATGAAGTATTTAAGCTACTAAACTCATTAGTTAATCTCTTGCTCAGTTAAGTTACTAAGTAAATCTGCTTATAACTACTTGTAATTCAACAGTAAGAAGAATCACCTTCTATCATGCATAACCAGAAAGCTTTTGTAGATAGCAGCTAGTACTGGAGGAAGATTCACACCATGAAAGAAAAAATGCGACGTTGGTATATGCAAAATAGGTACAGGCTGACTAAGGGAGGTGCATACTCAATCACAAGGAGCTATATTGATATTAGAGAGCACCACAACAGTTCACATATTGCTGATTGCATTTGGAGTGCAGTGGCTCAACCTAAACATAGATTTATTCTATGGTTAGCTGTCGAAGATAGACTGCTCACTAAGGAAAGGCTGATGAAGATGAACATCTCAGTGAAGGAAGTTAATTGTTGTTTATGTGATGCTCAGAAGCTGGAGACAGTCAAACACTTGTTCAGTGAATGCCCATGGATCACTGAGGTCAACAGGGGTTTTGAACAATGGACATGCTTGCCTATACAACTGGGGGAGGTGAAGGAAGTAATGCTGAAAATTAAAAGGAAGAAACGGAAGCAGTTTCAGAAACAAGTGATAGCTGCGAGTTGGGGGGCAATGATCTACCATACTCGGAGAGCCCAGAACTGAATTTTTTTCAAAGGAGTACATATACAAACAGTTGAGATACACACACAAATTAAGAGGAAGATTTTACATAGAATAGACATACTTAGTTCATCAAAGAGAGCTTGCAGATGTAGTGTTTTTCTGCAAAGGCTGAAAGTGTAACTAGTTTTGTGTCTTGTTGGAGGCTTGAGATGCAGTTGTTGTGCTCAAGGGCTCTTTAGGTGTATGTTTTCGTTTTAGTAATGGTAATGTTTAGATGGTTACCAAAAAAAAGATAGACATTATATTTCTTTTGATCTCCTACTCTCCTCAAGTTGTTGACTACCACATCATCTAGTAATGTACTAATTAACTTTACCTTTACAAAGTAACACACCTCCAAGACAACTCTAAGGAGTATTATAAACTTTAACAATAACAACATTCTAATTAAGAGATTAATGAATACTATCATGGATAATAAGAGATCTCAAAAGTAACAACCAAGTCTAAACATGATTTTTTTTACTACTAAGAACTCTAACAACAATTTCCAGGACCTTCCTTTGGAGGGTAACAGTAAAGCACACAAGTTTTTCCTAGTTAAATGATCTAATATGGTTAGACCAAAGCTGCAAGGGGGCTTGAAAATAAGGGACTATCGTGACACTTGTAGTATTTGGTTTCAAGGAATTGGTTGTCCTAATATGAGTTGTTTACAGCTACTACAACATATACATACTAAGACACACCCACTTTATGTCAATCTTCATTTTCTTGAACACCTATCAAAATAGTTGCCTCATATTACCAAATTTTGCTATCAAAAATTAAGAAAAAGCATACCAAACCATCACTCAATGAACAGATACACTAGCAGCAAGGAGTAAGAGACTGATAAGGATAGCAATTGTAACTCTATAATGTTCATATCCTACTCACATGGTCTTAAAAGCTACAAAATTTTGTAATAAGAAGGAAATCTCCTCTTAATCTCTAGCTACTAGCAACGCTTCCCTCTATAATGTACTATATCATTTTCTACACTTTTTCTAGTAACATTAGAAGCAACTGAAATTTAAAGTATTGGGCATGATTAATATTGATCTGTTTTAGGTAAGGTATTAACTTATTAAACATGAAGTTTGAGTTAGCAAAATAAAAATAGAAATATACCTTAAGTCAGCCTTCTGATGGAGCGCTGCATCATAAAAGATTATATGCAAAGTTAGATACTAAATGTTACATATTTATATACTTATTAAAAAAAATCAAATAGAAAATCTCATATAAGTTTGCATCACTTCTAACCTTGATGGCGATGAGCGAGCAAAGAGTTGTATCTTCCTAAACATGTCTTCTTGGCGTGCTACTACAGTGTCCAACTGAGAATTTAATGCTTTTATTTGTGACTGTTGGTCTTGAATCTGAGATTGCTGGTCTAGTATCTGCGACTGTTGGTTTTCTACCTCAGTTTCAGCTACATTTAATCGTTTCTGTAAGTCATGTTGGGCACTAGCAGCTTCTTGTTTTGCCTTTTTGAGAGAGTCTTCTAACTCTGTCGTTCTCCTTTGTGTAGCTCTTGTAGTATTAGGTTTTGGACCATAACCAAGGCCTTTTATATATCCCGACTTTGTACCAAGAACAGTATCCACAATTTCATCAATAGTCATGGAAGACTCTCCCGAAGTATATATATCTTTCAAATCAATCATGTTGTTCTACATAAAAATATGAATACTATTTAAAGGAAAAGGAACAACTTCAGAAGAATATTAATTAGACAAATGCAATGTGTATATGAAGTATAAATATTAATTTTCTTACATAATGAGTCTCAGCCTGTAGAGAAGACCATCCTTTTTCACTCGTGTAATGAGTATGCTTGTAAAACTCGATTCTATCAGGCTCTACTCCTTCAGGTTTAGTCCCACCCTATATAATAAGAAAATAACTGAAATAGTACTAAATTTTTACTAGTTAAAAGAATAAAAAGGGTATAAGTTACCATTTCAGCACGAGCCGCTACAAACGCTTTTGACCCCATGAAATGATTAGATTTAAGCTTAGTTCTATTGACCTTGTTTATGTCGCATCGTTTCTACAAAAAAAATAGAAATATTGTAACTTTAATAACAAAGACAATAAAATGAATCTAAATTACCTTATGATGTGGATTGATCCACATGTCACAAAGCCTATTCCAATTTTCGGGGGTCAACTCTGGCACTTCAATTTTACGAGCTTCTTCCTCGGAGTGTGCACTTTCAAATAGTTGTTTTAACTTGTAACACCACTGCCTGCTTCTATTTTTCAGGATATCCTCGCAACTATCTTTCACGTAATGCTCATCCAAATTAATCTCAAACCTCTCCTAAAAAATCAAATAAGTTTTGAAGACACAAAAAAATGATCAAAATCCCTGTTATATTAAAATAAAAATCATCACATCTCCTAGCATCGTAATTAACTTCAATCTCACTATATTTTTAACTATCTAAGCTGCATCTTCTTGATAACATTTATACAATCTCTTAGTTTATCAAAAAGTAATAACAATTATAGTTCATATGTGAGTACTCTAGAGCCATATGGAGTAAGCTTTTACACTAACAAGGAGAACCTAGAAAATCATTTAAATGGGCAGAAGAGTTGGAGTAGGCACAAGCTAAAGGCCAAAGCTCTACTGCTTTAGTTTAACAGAATGTCTTTGGCCGCATTAGCTTACAATATTTTGATTGAGATGTATAAAATTGTGATCCAGGCTGAAAATATTGATCCACAAGTTTCTATCTTCTTTAGAAACTACTGATCCACAAGCATCTTCTTGATATCATTTATATGATCTCTTACTTTATCAAAAATAATAATAATTACAGTCCATATGTGAGTATTCTAGAGTCATATGGAGTAAGCTTTTACACTTACAAGGAGTACCTAAAAAGCATTTAAATGGGATGAACAGTTGCAGTAGGCATAAGCTAAAGGCAAAAGCTCTGCTACTGTAGTTTACAGAATGTCCTTGGCAGCATAAGCTTAAAATATTGCAATTAAGATGAATAAATTTGTGATCCAGGTTGAAAATACCGATCCACAAATTTCCATCTTCTTTAGAAACTACTGATTTACAAGCATCTTCTTGATATCATTTATACAATCTCCTACTTTATCAAAAGATAATAATAATTATAGTTCATTGTGTGAGTACTCTAGAGCCATATGTAGTAAACTTTTACACTAACAAGGAGTACCTAGAAAAGCATTTAAATGGGCTGAAAAATTGGAGTAGGAACAAGCTAAAGGCAAAAGTTTGTTGTAGTAGTTTACAAAATGTCCCTGGCAGCATAAGCTTACATTCATGTTGAAAATACTGATCCACAAGTTTCTATCTTCTTTAGAGGATCCCTGAGAAATAGTTTAGGAAGGAAGCTTGAAGAGATGAATGTATACCCCTGGTTGTTGTTTTACTAGCAGTTAGTTGAGCTGATGTACTAGTTGTTTGTTTTAGTAGCAATCTGTATGCCCCTAGTTGTTGTTTTCGTAGCAATTAGTTGAGCTGATGTACTAGTTTTCTTTTTTTCTAGCTTATTTAGAGGATCCCTGAGAAATAGTTTAGGAAGGAATTAGCTTGAAGAGATGAATGTATGCCCCTAGTTGTTGTTTTAGTAGCAAGTAGTTGAGCTGATGTACTAGTTGTTTGTTTTCTAGTTTATTAACTATTGGTAATAAGATTCTTATTCTTTTAAAGTTAAAAGAAAATATGAATCTCACAGAATAAAGAGAAAGAGATCAATGGTGAACTACTACTAGATATCAACAGAGATAGATATAATCAAAGATTTTTCCCAAAAAAACAGATGGATGAGTAATAGAAGTATCCGAAAAGGCCTTAGTATAATCACTACCATGTAATAAATTTACTAGAGTACAGAATTCTTACATGACATCTAATTAGTGCTGCATCTTTGTCCTCTCTTGTGAGTTCCTTCCACTTGTTTGGAAGCAATAGAAAATTTCGAGCAATTATCCCCAACTCATTGGATAGTTTTGCTGATTGATCTGGTTTAGTTGGCCTTCCTTTGCCCAGTGGAATTTCTATTTTCATCTTGCTTCCCAAAGTCTTCTTCATTTTTTCAAGACCTTTCCCTCTAGTTTTTCCACGACCTTTCTTAAGTCTAGTGAAATCATCTGATGAAAAAGAGTCAGTTTGAAACACCACCTAAAATCTAAAAAGAAATAGTACATATGGCAGTAAGGCACAAGATGAAGACTGGAACATCGGGAATTTTGTTGTATCTTAAGAGACAACAAGGTCAAGAAATTTATCGAGAAACAAAGAGAATATAGGAGAGCTAATAACATCTATTTTGATCATTTAAATCATTCGTTGATTATAAGTTTCATGAATTACATAAAATGACATTGAATTCTAAAAGTATAAATCACAACACCTATTCATTAAGAAAAAAAATTCAAATTATGCATATTGACAGAACAAGTACCTTTAGACACCTATTTTTTTATGTCATAACGAGCAACGGAGAGCTGGTTAAAAATAAAACAAGTCTAACTAGTACGAGTTATCATGAAGAAATGATTACATGAAATCTGTGACAACATTTTCCACTTCTTAGAGTCAATTTTTGTAGCTTATGTAGTATATTGACAAAACAAAGTCAACTACAACTGCTCATACAAATGTTTAATGGCTTTCATGTTAAGAAAAAGACATGTGTGATTATGAGTGATATCATGAAGCAGTTCTTATAAAATGTAAATATAACTACATGAGTTAAATCCACAAATTCACACATCATCCGAGATTGAATAACTTTCACTAGAGTGAACAAAATCAATTTCATTTATCCTACTACTTCATTTTCCCAACATCATTCTCACCATCCTTAGATACTAAGCTAATGTCCATATCTTTTCTAAGAAGTTTAACTTTAATAGAAGTTTCAATAGGTAACATTTTCGATTCCAACTTGGCCAATAACGAAATAATTTAATAGTAATCAATATCATAAAACATATTACCTGTATTAACAACATGAGTAAGGTTATTTGAGTCATCCACTGATTGAGTATCTTGAGTCGTTTCCCCTGTAAGTGTAGTTTGTCTAAAGACACATCCACCCGATGCCATTGATTTACAGAACTCTACCAAAACACAATATGTAAATTTAGTATGTTCATAAGATATAAACTCAATTGGTTGAACAAAAATAGTTATACAAAAGCACCAACTATTGACAACTAACGAAAAATCTAAAAAGAACATAAACTATCAAACTGGAAAGTCTCACACACGTTATTTATTAATACGAGTTTTTTTTATCTTCTTGTCCAAATATTAATTGAACTATTGAATCATCACTAGCAAATTAAAGAACCGGTATAACATATCAATGATAGATATACGCAGGAAATGTCCAAATTTCAAGGCAAAAACTTTTCAGAAAACTTATATAAGCTGAAGTGTTAAGAAAAGGTTGTGGATCTGATAAATATTGAGCCTCGTGAAGAAATTCCTATTGGTTTCAAAAATTACTATATGAAGACATATTCTATTGAGGTGTGTCATATCCCAAGTAATTCTACATTGATGGCAAGAAAGCCTAGTGAAGAGACTAGGCAGTATGGTGTTTATGGGTAAGTTCCTTATCAAGAAAATATATGTAGCCATGATTCCATAGCACCCAAAAGTTCCATGGGAAAGCCTCATAGTTCATCTCAATGTTCATCCTCAACATAAGTTTTGTCTTTGGTTGGCCTTGCAAAAAAGATTAGCCATTTTAGAAAGACTGCTGAAATTTGGGATATTTGTTTCTCCTTGTATTTTCTGTCATACTACTGAAGAAACCATTGACCACATTTTCTTTGAATGCAACGTTACCCAGAAGTTGTGATCCAGAATGTTGTGCTAGATAGGTGAACCTAGATTGATCGGAAGCGGGAAGGGAGAGGTCACTTGAGCATAAAATGGAAAAAGAAAAGACTCAAGAAAGTGAAGCATCATTGGCTGCCTATTTTCTATGGTAGTATCACTAATATGGAGGGAAAAGAACATGAAAAGATTCCAGGGAGGCCACTCACTACCAGGAGACTAGGGTGGCAAGAGAAATAGTTGTCCATAAGGGGGAGGTTCCTGAAGTCATGGTAGTCTGTTCTAGGTGTACTCAACCATATGCCTCGAGGTTACCACCAAAAGAAGCCGCAGGAACTGGAAGGATTGGAGCTCAAATGTTATACCAAATTGATTAGCTAAAATGTAGTAGGATAGTATTGACATCACTTGTAATAGATAGACAGAAGTGAAGTTAGTACTTCAAATTGTATTATTATTTTTTGTCAACTGAAACTTATGAGAAACAGGGGTTAGTCCTGTTTTATTTTGTAGTTCCCACTTTGGTGTAAATAAAATTTTCTTAACCAAGAACAAATTGCCCTACATAATATTCATCTATAAATATTTTGGTTTGGTTCATCTTGATAGAAAGTTCCATTACCCTATCTTAATTCTAAGTGTCAAGTTCCAGAAGCATAATGTGACAGACTTTAAATACTTGTTTTCACAATCCATCCTCTCTTCCCTAGAAATCTGAGGGGAGAACATCAATATACGACAAAACGAATGAGAAGTTGTTTAAATAGAAGCTTGAATAGTGTTATACTTCACTAGTGTGTGTCACACACCAATTGTAAATATGCACACCACTTGAAACTGTAATCTACACAGTAAATTCGAGTATTCTTCTAAATGATCTTATGAGACAAAAATAAAGCAAGGTCAATGGAGGTGCCACAAAGAATCAATGAACAAATCATTCAATATATGATTATTGCACATAACGAACTGTTTAATTTTGTTCAAACATAAAGTGGGAAGACTGAAACATACCTGGTCTTCTTGTCCAGGTTCAGATATTCTTTCATTTTGCAATGAAACTTCTCAAATATATAGTGGTTATTCTGAAATTATTTTGGAGCCAAAAACCTAAAAAAATTAAGCGCCAAAAGACAGTTTCTTTCTCCATTTTTTGGCTTTCTGTACTTTCTTTGGTGGGCAAATTTGAAGAAGTGAAGGAAGTTGTGCCTTCAATTAACCCATTAACCCTGAAACTTAGGAAGTGGAGAAGTGCTCGACCAACCTGAGTTTTGTATATTATTAACATTAATAATTATTTTAATATATTTCAAAAGGGTATAAATGTACATAACTAAGCATCCAGATAAATCACTTCCAAAATGAGCCTAATTTCATACATAGTGTCGAAACTCGAAAATGAACTTTTGAAATAAGATAAAAAATTAAAAGCCATTTTTAGAGAAAAAAAAAAAGGTCGCCTAAGAATGATAATACTCTTTCTTGTCTGTTTGAGTGCACATCAATCTTTGTGTTGTCTAGCTAAAATTTACCCCAAAAATTAGCACAACACTAATTTGAATAATGAAATAAATCTGGTCAAATTTACAATATCCAACACTAAGCTGTGAATGAAACAATACAAAAGTATAGATCATAATAGATGAAGGAAGTGGATATCATACCTGTAACATTGAGCACATCTGTAAAGCTAGAAACTTAGCTGCATGAAGAAATTGGAAGCTCATCTGAGGAAGTAGAGACAGTGGCTCATCGGAGAGAGCTCAGGGAGCATTATCAGTAGATTAGCTGGGAGCTTAAGGAGGAGAAGACGAGAGAATCGAAGATTTTTGGTGTTACTTTGTAGAAAGAAAAATTACTTACTTTCCTAATTAGATAGCATGCAAATGCTTGGGCCTGGTCCGGGTTTGGGCCAGACCATTTGCTTCTCAACTAAATAAGATTTCAAGCCCAAATTAAAATGTAGGAGAAGTTCACTAATTACCAATGTTTGGTGTGTATCTCCTTTTATGAGTCTTCCGTATAATAGTAATTTATTTTGATTTTGGTAATTAGTGTTCTAACTTCTGATTTTGGAATTTGTTTTTTAATAATTATTTTTGATTTTGTTGTTGATGCGGTTTTGTATATTATTTAATTGACATTTGTTAAGTATTGTTTCATTATGTATGTTATGTATCGTATTGTATTATTTTTCGTCGTTACATAATGTCACATATCAACAATTTGAATGATAACCCTACAAGAAAAATAGAGTACAGGGTAGAGCATCTATAAAAAGTTAGGGTGAAGAATAAAATAGGATATACAAGTAAAGACAAAATGAAAAAAAATATTAATGTAACTATGCGATCTAGCCAAATTGGGCGCTAACACAAAATGGGAGTACTTTTCATCATGAAACTATTATTCAAAATGCCTAAAAGGGTGGTATTTTGATGAGTTAAGGTCAATCAACTATGATCAATAGTTATAAATAAATGTTTCCATATGAAAACAACGTAGAATAAGTAAGGTATAATGTAATCACTAGTATGGTATGTAATTCAAGTAAAATTATATATTATATTAGTTGTAACGACAAGTTTGTTTGTAGCTAATGTATAGAAATTTAACCAAACAAATAGGTCAAATTGTATAACTACGTACAAATTTAATTATAATAGGATAAAGTTTGTGGGAATTGGTTAATTAAATTAACTATTATCTTGCTTCTCAAGTACTTTTCATGACCGTTTAGTTTAGTTGCAAGGATTCTAATAGGTTACCATCCATCTATATTCAAAATTAAATTTAGAATTTTGGATTAAATATGCTTTGATTTTTTTGTTTAGTTAAAAATGTGTTTATAATTAGTGATTATATAATTATAACCGAGAATTTTTTTGTAGCCAATAATTGCACCATTCAACTATGAAATTTAGGTCATAGCCATTCAAACATATATAATATTTTTTGACAAACATTCATTGTGACTAAACTATAAGTAAATAGAGACAACAATACAAGTATCACTAATTGTTTGAACTATTATTGACAAAAACTAATATCACAATTGAATACAAAAAATTGTAGTTAAAGTTTACCATGATTAACTACAAATTATACTTTATTTTTACTCTATCAATATATTTTTGCGATAAAGTTTATCATATAAAAAAATTAACAAATTTTAGGACAAAAAATGATTCGTCACTAATGTGTCAATATATTTTGTGCGACAAAAAATTTTTTGTATCCAAAAATTAGCTAATTTTAGGACAAAAATGATTCGTCACTAATGCATCAATATATTTTTGCAACAAAAGTTTTTTGTATTCAAAATTTAATTGATTTTAGGACAAAAATGATTTATCACTAATGTATAAATATAAGTTTTGTTGACAAAAAAATTTTGTATCCAAAATTTAATTAATTTTAGGATAAAAATGATGCATGACTAATGCATCAATATATTTTTGTGACAAAGGTTTTTCGTATTCAAAATTTAACATATTTTAGGACAAAAATGGTTTGTCACTAATGTATCAATGTATGTTTTTGTGACAAAAAAATTTTGTATCCAAAATTTAACAAATTTTAGGACAAAAAATAATTCGTCACTAATGAATCGGTATATTTTTGAGACAAAAGGTTTTCGTATTCAAAATTTAACTAATTTTAGGACAAAAATGATTTGTCACTAATGTATCAATATATTTTTTTGTGACAAAAGTTTTTTGTATCTAAAATTTAATTATATTTTGGACAAAAAATGGTTCGTTGCTAATTGGAAACATCATTCGTGACAAAATAATGTGTCACTGACAACTCTAAATTTGTGGCTAATAGTATTCAATATTTGGCGCCAATCCTTTTTTTGGTGGGAAACTTTAAAAGACGAAACTTTGCAACGATTTTCTACATTTCGTCACTAAAAGTATGTGTTTCATGTATTTAAGCACGAAATATAATTTTTGTCACTAAAAGTGAATAATTTGTGACGAATTTCATGTCGTAGCTAATATTTCGTTGCTATATATCACTTTTGTTGTAGTGAGTTTGTGATTAGGCGATACCTATTTCCCCTAATCAGATTCAGAGTTTCATGCGAGCTATTATCATCAGTTCATTCATAGTTACTCTTCTATAGCAACTCCATTAACTAAGATGATTCAAAAGACTCTGGCTTTTATGTGGACCGATGAGTGCGAGGCGAGCTTTCAAAATCTCAAGGAATTATTAACCTTAACACCTATCTTAGGTTTACCCAAGGAGGGTGTTACCCTTGTGCTATTCTTTGATTCTTCAAGTGGTTGTCTAGGTCGTGTATTGATGCAAAAGGAGAGAGTCATAGCCTATGCTTGTCAATAGTCGAAGGTTCATGAGAAGAACTACCCTACTCATGATTTACAATTAGTGATAGTGGTCTTCGTCTTATTGTTATTGATGCATTATTTGTATGGTGTGCATTGTGAAGTTTTTACCAACCATCCTAGTCTTAAGTATCTCTTTCTGATCCGAATTTGTACATGAGGCAGTGTAGATGGTTGGAATTGTTGAAGGACTATGACATCACGATTCTTTATCATCTAGGCATGCAAAAAATTGTAGCTCCGTCTTTATGTTGGAAGACACCTAGTATGGGTAGCTTAGAATTTTTTAAGGTAGAGGAAAGACTTTTGGCATTTTTAGTTCACTCGTTCACTAGACGGTTGGTTCGACTAGATATTTCAACACCTCACCGTGTTTTTGTCTTCATTAAGGCTTGGTCTACTTTGATAAATCAAATTTGTGCCCACATGTTTGAGGATTAAAAGTTCATAGCGACACGATATAAAGTAAAGAAAGGTTAAGCTAAGTTCACTTCTCTTGATCCCAATGGAGTTTTAAGGAGCTGTCGTCATATTTGTGTTCCTTAAGTTGGTGGTTGGGTGCATATGATATTGGAGGAGGCTCATTGTTCTAAATACTCTATTCACTATGGGGAAACAAAAATGTATCATGATATGAAGTAACGTTATTGGTGGTGTTGTATAAAGAGTGACTTTGTTGAGTTTTGGGCCATGTGTTGGAATTTTTAGCACGAAGTATGAGCATAAAAGATTGGGTGGGACGATGCAAATGAACCCTGTCCCTGAGTGGAAGTGGGAGTGCATTACTATGGACTTTGTGACTGTGTTACCCTTTACCTAGGGTAAGTATGATTCTATTTGGGTGCTTGTTTACCAGTTGACCAAGTAGATTCATTTCATTCCAATCAAGACTAGTTGAATGTGGAACCATTTTCTAGGATCTACATTTGTGAGATTGTTCGATAGCATGGAGTGCCCATTTCAATTTTTTCTAGTAGAAGTGCACTTTACGTCTCATTTTTTGATTTCTATGTAGGAGGACATAGGTATGAATCTTTAGTTGACTACAACCTTGAACCATAGGACATATGGTAAGTCTGACTGGACTATTATAGTTATTGAGGATATGCTTCGGCTTTGTGTCATGGACTTTGGTACTCATTGGGGCCAATCCCTACATCGTGCAGACTTTTCTTATAACAATAGTTACAATTCAAGCATTTAGATGACAGTCTTTGATGCTTTGTATTGGAGGAGGTGTAGACCTATGAGGAGTGGTGAACTTCCACTCATTTGAGTTCTTCTCTTAAAACATTGTGGCACTTGAGTAGAGAAAGAGCCTGATTGTACATGTCATTATGTTTATTTTAGGCATTTGATGTTGGAAGTAAATTGATGAACAAAAGTGGAAAAGAAGCTGAACTTGGCAGAAATTGGGTCGCTAATGTCACACCTGGGAGTGAAGGTTTGCTTAAGCAAACTGTCAAAGGTGATCAATAGGTCGAATAAGCGACAATGCGGAAGTCAATTTTGTGAACTAGATACAAAGGGCAGGGTTCGCTTATGCAATGGGATTGGTGCTTTGGCGAAGTTCACTTCTGTGAACTTCTATCTGCTTTTGCGAATCCCGTCTACATTGACAAAGGCAGAAATGGAATAACTGAGGCATTGGATTCAAATTCTCACAAAGGGGCTGGAGTGAAATATTTTACCGAATCATATATTCTTAGGAAAAATATCATCTTTTAGCAAAGTTTTAGGAAGAACAGTAATTTTGAAGTGTTAATATTTTGGCTTGAGACTTTGAAGGCAGGTTCCCTCACAATTCATATTTGGGTTTGAAAATTGTGTGCTTAATAGTAAAATCTCTTGTTCCCTTCTTCCTTCCTTGCTTTACATTGTTTGTTGGTGTAATTGTGTCTCTGAAATTGATGCTTTTGTGCTAGAAATAGACAAAGCTATTTGGGTATTTAATGTTTTTCTCTAATGATCTATAGTTTATGTGATTCCTTGATTCCATGCTTAATTTCATGAAATGGGTTTAATACAATTTTATACTTTAATCTATGATTTGAGAGTGCACACTTTTAATCTAGCTTCTACTATTTGTGTGTTGCACGAGAGAGAATTCGTGACGTAGAGAATTATGTTAATAATCATATTTGGATTTCAGTCCTAAATTTGAGGCCGAAATGATATAATTTAGATCACTTTGGTGAATGCTAAATTTTCTAGAAATATTTATTTATATTACAGTATTGGATTGTTTTGTCGTTGACACGGTTGAGCACAAAAAGAGATTTTATGATATAACACTTTGAGACCAAAAAGAGATTAGTGTAGATTTATGATGTTTT